TACCCTCCTCTTCTTCTTCAGAACTTTCCTTTGTAGCTTTTCTTTTAGGCAGCAAGGCTCGAGACTTATCTAAATCCAGAGCAGCATTCGCAGACATGCGAATGGCCGTAGCTACTTCAGCCGTCATTCCTCTAATGCCAAATCCTGATTAAAGGATGGATATACATGATTAAAGTTGAGGAAAAAACGCTTAACATGTAAAAAAAAATTTATAAAAAAGGGGAACCGTGTGTTTTGAATTTCCAGCCATGTAAGGAAGAAATTGATTTCCAAGTTCTCTGCTCCCTAGAAGCAATCTTCAAAAGTGAGTCTACCCAACCACGAAAGTTGGGAATAGGTTCCACATCTCCCATGGTTGCTACAAAAAACCAAGAAGGGACGAGATTAAAAAACAACTTTCTTTTGAAATTCTCAAAAGTAAGTACGGTAAATAAAAGGAAACCTACGTTCAAAATTCCACTTCTCAGGGAAGGGAATATTTGTTTCACCAATCAAGTCCAGTGTACGGACAGCAACGTAACGAATATACCATCTACGATCTTTATCATACTCAGGATTTACCAAAACCTTTTTGCTCGTTGCAGTTAAGGTAAAAACCCCATGGCGTATTAAGTTANGAGGCTATGATTGGCAGGAACCTCCAAAGTAACACTTCTCATTGTCATATTTCCGCTGCTAGAACCTGTCTCTGTATGATGAACAGAGGGAAGATGAGCAGTGGAAGGAATGGAGGGAAAAGATGTAGAAACCAATACCGGAGCGGAAGCAGGTGCGGTCGAAGCAGCCAAGGGAACGGATATAGGAGCGGTAGAAATTGGCAAACAAACGGAAGTTGTCAAAACTGGTAAAGAAATACTTACGGCTGGCAGAGGAATGGAGGAAATAGGAACAAATGAGGAAAGAGGAGCTTCATCAAAAACAGGTCCGAGCTCGCCACTCCCGAAACCACNAAAGAGGAAATTCTTTGATTTGGGGAAGGAATTGACATTCGGAGACTATCCTTCCAGTTACAATCTCTTCTTATGGTGGGGATTGTAAGCTCGGTTACTATTGTTGGGTAAGTATCGGCTCTTTCTAAATTTTTAATTTGTTTTTGAAGAGACGTTTTGTCACTTTCAAAAGACAAATCGACGGGAACTATATCATCAAATGAGGGTTCTTGAGAAGGATCAAGAATTTCCCTACTCTTAGAAGAAGGGGCTTTTGGGATAGAACTCCTTGAAGAAGAACCAGAGGAGCCGCCTCGCGTAGATTCTAACCCTGTTCGAAGCCTACCTCCTCCGCCTCTTCTGTGTNNNNGAAGAAGAATTTAAATAGGCACGAGACAACGTATAGATACGAGTCTCGTACCAATTTAAATTATCTACAGCCAACGGATAGAAGGCATTGAAAGCAAAGATCTGGTGACAGAAAGGAGTCCAAATTCATTATTAAATACTTGATACGTTATGAAGTCGGTATTTAATAGGAATGATTGTATAACGGCTTATTTAATATCATTTATTACTCATGATTATATCATTAAAGTTGAGGCTTCATTCCTTTACCTAGAATTATCTATAAAAGGAAGAAGTATCATCATTTGTAAGGACACGGAATACTATTGAGAATTTATTGAAATATACATCTATTTGCTTCTTACCATCGTTCTCAAAAGTATTTTATTTTTGTCTCCTGATTATCAGTAACCCGAATTTCTTTTTAGCTTTGACCAAAAACTCAGATTTTTGGTTAAACACCCTCCCCGGACGTCACTTATGGCATTACACTGGTTTCTTATTGTTGTAATTTTTTGTATGATATATTGATATATCTAAGTTCTAATTACTTTTGGAACATTTTACGGACTTAGACCACAGATGAACAACTTGTTATCAAGGGCAGCCTTAGACACCAGCCTTATCTGCTGCCAATTAAGTCAAAGTGATTATTATTATTAATATCTCAATGTTCCTCAGATTTCCTTGTCTATTTAAACCTAGTTTACCTAGTTCCAGGAAACCATAAATTTGGAAAGAACATCTAATATATCCCGGATTCGATATTGAAACAAAAGGCAGAGGTCTTGTTGTAACTTAGAAAACCATGATAACAATTTTCTTAGCTTTTCTTGGCTTGCTGGCTCTTGCTAGATTCTTGTACAAATCATGGTTGTATCCACTTTCCATACAAAATATGATGAATTCACAGGGAATCAGAGGTCCGCCTTACAAGTTTCCTAAATGGAATTTCAGAAAAATTGCAGCAATGAAATCAAACACTGGTCCTATGGAGCTATCACATGACATATTTCCTAGATTGCAGCCACATTTGCACTCAGGGGTCAAGTTGTATGGTTAGTATATGTAACTTTTTTATTCGTTTAACCTATATCACATACAAGAAGGGGAGCATTGACGTAACTGGTAAAGTTGATGTCATGTGACCATGAGGTCTCCAGTTCGAGCTATGGAAACAGCCTCTTGCAGAAATGTAGGGTGAGGCTGCATACAATAGACCGTAGTGGTCCGAGCCTTCCCGGACCCCGTACATAGCGGAAGCTTATTGCACCGGGCTGCCCTTTATATCAAATGCAAATTAACCAATTTTTTAATTTATGTGCAGGAAAGAGTTTTTTATGGAATGGTTCTAAACCACAATTGATTGTAACAGATGTTAACTTGATTAAAGAAATTCTCACCAACAAAGAGGCATTTGCTAAGCCTAAAATTAGTGGTCCTTTAAAGAAGTTATTTGGGAATGACATTCTTTTTTCAGAAGGTAAAAAATGGTCAAAACTTCGTAAAGTGGCAGAGTATGCTTTCCATGCGAAAAACTTGAAGGTGAATCTCCTAAATCTTGTTATAGTACCGTTAGACCTCTTTATAACAACATCTCTATATAACAATGTTTATTTGAACCGATTTTTATGTTATTATTATAATATATATCTTCTATAACAGCACTTCACTATAGCAGCTAAAAGATATGAGAACAAACGAGGTTGTTATAATGATGTTTGACTGTACTAATCGAGTTTTAAAGAACAAATTGTCTAATAATACCTTATATTATACATTTACAAATCAGGACATGATTCCAGCAATGATTGGAAGTATGGAAGCAATGTTAAAAACATGGAATCTTATGAAAGTAAAGAGATCGAAGTGAATGAACAATTCAGGCTTATGAGCACGGAGATCATCTCTAAAACTGCTTTCGGAAGTAGCTACTTGGAGGGGAAGCATATATTCCAAATGTTGGACAAATTAACTCTATTCATTGTCATGAGCTCTAGAAGGTCTAGAATTCCTGGAATAAGGTATGAGTAGAAATTAACAACTCTTAAGAACTTTGTTTGTTGTTACTGTTCTATGGTTTCTTTTCATCTTCTTGAGCCGAGGGTCTATCAGAAACAGTCTCTCTACCCTCCAGGGTAGGGGTAAGGTCTGCGTACACACTACTCTCCCCAGACCCCACTTATAAGATTATACTTGGTTGTTGTTGTTGTTGTGCTACTTCATATCATTCTTAATAACTACGTTGTTTTTGCACCTTCAAAGTAAACTTTTCAGGACAATTGAAGATATAGAATCAGACAAGATCCGAGAAGCACTACGTGAGATCATGTTAATGGTAAAGAAAAGAGAAGCCAATGTTAATTCAGGACAAACAGACAGCTATGGAAGTGATTTTCTTGGATCACTTTTGAAGGCTCACCATGATGTTGATGAAAGAAAAAGAATTTCTGTGGACCATGTCATCGATGAATGTAAAACCTTCTATTTTGGTGGACATGAAACAACAACCAATCTACTAAGCTGGAGTGTTCTTCTCCTAGCAATCAACACTGATTGGCAAGAGAAATCAAGAAAGGAAGTTCTTGAACTCTTCGGCAAAGAATATCCAGAGACAGATAGCATTTTAAAACTAGAGATTGTAAGAACCCAAATTTCTTTACCCAATCTTTCCTCAATTCCTAGGCTGCTATTAATTTTTGGACTAATTACCTTATATTGGGCCGCCGTCCAAAATAATAGCCGCAAATATACATATAATATACATAAAATATACATATAATATACATGTTATATATGTTTTGTATATGTAATTAAAATGAAAAAATACATGCTCAGCTCTAGTAGCAGATCTATGATGGTTTGTTTGTGAGTTCAATTCAACCTATTGCTTTCAACTCGAACTTTATGTGGGAAAAAAAATTTAAAATGTAAACATGTGTGATACATGCTGAACTCACTGATTTTAGATTCTGAATTCGCTTGTGCTCAATCCTAACCGTTCATGTAATCGTTGTAGCATATATGAATGGCCAAGAAGTTATAATCAGTGTTCTTTGCGTGTAGGTGGGCATGGTAATAAATGAGAGTCTGAGGCTTTATCCACCAGTTGTGGATATAAACAGAAGAGTAACAAGAACAACAAGATTTGGCGAACTTACAGTTCCAGCAGGAGTTGAATTGGACATTCCCCCTTTATCAGTTCACCATAGCTTTGAAATATGGGGCGACGACGCTCGCCTATTTAAACCAGACAGATTTGCTGATGGAGTAGCTAAAGCAACAAAGGAGCCGTTGATGGCGTTTTTACCTTTCAGTTTTGGTCTTCGAAAATGTCCTGGCTCGAGTTTTGCAATTATGCAAGTCAAGATAGCACTTTCTATGATCTTGCAACGTTATAAGTTCACTCTTTCACCAAATTACAGTCACTTTCCCATTGTAATTCTCTCCCACTGTAAAATTATTAGTTATAAAATGGCAGCCCCGTGCACTAAACTCTTGCGGGGGTCTGGGGAAGGGCGGACCACAAGAGTATATTGTACATAGTCTTACCCTGCATTTTTGCAAGAGGTTGTTTCCACAGCTCAAACTCATAACTTCCTTATCATATGGCAGCAATTTTACCAATTGCGTCAAGGCTCCCCTTCAAAATTATTAACTATCACACTTAATAATAGATTTCCAATATTAAAGTATGTTTGTATTATGTGTTCTTATCATTACTGTATTATATGTTAGTTTAAGTGAAATGTTTGTGGTGATTGTTACTTTAAACTTACTGCATTGCATTTAAATTAGTTGATCAAGTTCCTTCTCCTTATTCAAATTTATTTTCTTGGAATCCTATATAATTTCTCCTTCCAAATCTTATCACATTAGTCAATCTAGTCAATACTCTGAGTACCTACTAAGGGGTCGTTTGATAGATGGATAAGCCAAAATAATTTTGGGATAAAAATTTAGTACTATCTTATTCCTTGTTTGGTTATTAATTTTGAGATATTAAAAATAATATCGGAATAATATATACCGGCCAGAGGGTAGAATAATAATCTCAGAATAAATTATCTCATGATAAAGCAGTAAATTGACAATCCCAGGATTAATACAACATACCAAACAGTCAATAAGAAATAAAATCAAGTACAAAAAATTCTTCTGCTACTCGTGTATCGAACATGTATCATGCATGTATCTCACACACAGGTATACATGGATATACATGTGATACATATTTAATACAAATATGATACATATGTGATACACAAATGATAAACAGTGTGATACACATATCATCTTGTCTATGTTCATCTTCTACTTCAAATTTTCAATTCAAACCACCTCATAACTCTACCAAATCATCCCAAAAGTGAGATTTAAACTCCATAACATGTATCCAATCTATTCCAACATCGCTCGCTCAAAAGAAAGTAAAAAAATGATAATTCTCTACAAATAACTAATTGGCTAATATTGATATTTTATGAATTGGCTAATTTTTGTATTAACTTACTTATGGGCTTACATAGCTGGTAATTTCCCATTAAAAGATGGTTGTTTCTTTTAGGGAAAAATCTCACTTTATACCCATTAAACCCAAACTATTTACCCTTTAATATTCAAGCCTAAACTATTTACTTTTCCTACCTATGTGGCCCACAGTATTTACCCATCCCACCAATTAGCTATTTGCCTTCCTATTGAAGTACATAATGTTAAAACTTCTAGCTTGATTTTTGCAAGGTTACTTAGAGCTATTACAATATGATAACTAAATAATTTCGTCTTTCTTTATTTTAAGTAGCATATAGGATTACTTAATATATTAAGTTTGTAGGATCTGATTGTTTGTGTATGAAGACCCACCATTGTTGAGCTTGAAGCTCCTGATTTGAAATTTTATTTTGAAGATTTATTGTTTTGATTCGATGTGGGTACTATAAAATATTGCTTATAGTACCTTCAAGTAAGCTTGCCCGATCTGAATATTTATGTGTATGTGAATATCCACCATTGTTGGGCTTAAAACTGTTGAATTTAAAAATTTTATTTTGAATATTTCTTGTTTGATTCAATGTGGGTGTTATTAAATATTACTTTTAGTACCTTTTGGAAGTTCATACTGAAATTTGATCATAGTTGGAGCTGATTTGAGGTGATTGAGATCAAATTTTTCAGCTGAAAATCGAAGAAGAACACAATTACCCAACAATATACCACTATGTTGTACAATATATTGTAGGAGTATATAGCTATACTGAAAAGTATTCTATTATGGTATAAAATATACTACCACGATATACTATAATAATCGAAGAAGAACATAGTTACCTAACAATATATTGCCACGATATACAATATATTGTAGGAGTATATAGCTATTGTCACGACCCTAAACCTGGACCCGGTCGTGATGGCGCTTCTCTTGAAGACAAGGCCAGCCGACACTACCCATCTCAGTATTTAACAATTAAGCATTTAGAAACCGTCTAAGCATGATCAAATAAATCAAGGTTTAAGCACTTCATAGCTAATTCGCGGAAAATAAGCCAACACAACCCGATACCGGGGTGTCACTAGTCATGAGCATCTAAACAATCCGGAATACTCCAAATCAAACTACAGAGTTTAATACAGAAACTAAGAACATGAAAAAATAAGATAGGGAAGAGCTCCGGGCTGTGAACGTCGATAGCTACCTAGAGACTCCTCGGATCCGCCTGAGCTGGAAATGATCAGTACTCGGGAGCGAGACCAGATACGTATGAATCTGGACACAGGGTGCAGGGAGTAAAGTGAGTACTCCAACTCAATGAGTAATAATCATAAATAAAAACTGAAAGCAGGAAATCACGTAAGGCGCAAAACATGCTATAATGAGGCAGTAAAACCATTTAGAACAGTAAACCAATGAAAGATAGGTAAAATCCTTTAACTCAAAATTTACTTCATGAAAAGCCTTTTTCAACAATTAATCATGGTAATTGACAGGAAATTAAGAAAAGGATAAACACATAAAGGTTCGCCCTTCAGACACAGTATCAACAAATCCGCCCCTCAGGCAACATCTCAAAACAATACCAGCCCCTCGGGCTATCACATAGAATAATACCAGCCCCTCGGGCAATCATATAGAACAATATCAGCCCCTCAGACAATCATATAGAACAATATCAGCCCCTGGGGCTCAATCTCATATCACAATGGGTACCCGCGCTCACTAGGGGTGTACAGACTCCTGGAGAGGCCCCCTTACGACCCAAGCGCAATATCAAGTCATCTCGTGGCATCATCACTAGGCCCTCGGCCTCATATCAATGAGGGCCTCATATCAATCAAGTCACCTCGTGGCGTACATATCTCAGGCCTTCGGCCTCATAATCATTATCAAATGTTTCCTCACAATATAGGCTCTCGGCCTTACTCAGTCAAAATTCTCACAAGCCACTCGGGCAATAGTAAAACATGATTCTCAGCCCAAAAATATCATTTAAAAGATCATGTAAGTGTTAAAACAAAGTAAACATGGCTGAGTACGAAAATAGCAAAATATAACATGACTAAGTTCAAGTATAAAGTCAAAACTGTGAGCACGTGATTTTTGTTTCGCACGACAATCGCTCCAAAAGAAATAAAAAATAATAATAATTGGCCCCGCTGTACAAATTTTGGATTTTTACATGGCACTTTGTTGGTTATTTGCGATTTTTTCCCATTTTTACTTTATTAAAACAAAATACAAAAAATGTGTGTGTCATGCATAATTCGAACCGTAATCCGGTCGTTAAATAGAAAATCATAAATAGGCATCTTCGTCCGTGATTTTATTTTGTTTGATTTTACCTGTTTTGAAATATTTTAGTGTGTGTGCAAATAATTGAATTGAGTGTGTATTTAATTTTAATTTGATTTTTTGCTTAGTTTTGTTTTTAAAATAAATAAGAAAAAGAAATAAAAATAAAAATAAAAAAAGGAAAAAACCCCTTCTTCTTCCGGATTGGGCCAATTTATTAAAATTGGCCCAAACAAGCAATGCACCCAAACCAGGCCTGCCCGGTCCAGTCCAGTTGATACCCAGGGTGTCCAAACGACGTCGTTTGGGTCATGCCTGATCTGGGCCGTTGATCTCAGATTGATCAACGGCCAAGATCACCTCCCCATAACTCACTAATGGCCCCGACCCGTTTCCACCCGGACCAACCCAAACCATTTACCCTCGAAACGACACCGTTCCACTTAAGCCCTCAGATCCAGACCGTAGATCTAGATTGATCTAACGGTTGAGATCAACCCACCCATTCCATATATAAGCCCTTAACATACCCTGCCCCCCCTATCCAATACCCCAGCCTTCGTCTCCACAGACCCTTCCCCTCAAACCCTAGCCTCCCCCATCTCCCTTCACCAGAAACCCGGCGGCATGAACGTCGGTGACCCCACCCTCAACACCATAGAACCCCCTTGCCATCCGGAACACGGATCTGTTAACCATGTAGTTCGAATCCCTTCCTACCTTCTCAAATCTTCATTTGAAGATTCGAGTCAAAACTCGATCTACACGGTTTAACCCCAGTTTCACACCAGACACTCCCCAGACACCCCTCGTGACCAAACCATGCTTGGTTTGGTCCGAATCTGATCAGGGAAGCATGAATCCCAGA